CTTTGTTTCCCCAGCTATCCTTTGCCTAATGTTTGATATAGGGAAACTATTTTAGTGTTGAAGTGCCGGAGTTTAAGGGCAACAATCTGGATGATTGTTTTGCTCATTATCCATGAGGCTTTGTACATTCCAGGATCCGAGACTTGAGTTTGACTTTGATTTTCGGACTGCGGGTATAGAAGCCTGCTGGATGTGGTTTTCCAGCTATGGTGGAACAGACTATTTTAAGGGCACAGTTTTTAGCCTGTTCCCTTTGTGGGTAAAGCCATTCGGCTCCGTTGCTTACTCTACCATTTAATTGGATAATAGCTAGTGTTCTCTTTTACTCCATTTTTCCGTCTTTGCTCCACATCACTTGAAAATCATCCTCAATAAAAACAAAAATTATTGATAATGATCTTGAAAGCTCGAGGCGACCTAGCATTGACAATATTTGGGGATAAGAATTCAAAACTTATTCTGCATTTCTGTTGAAAATTGCTTTCTAATTTTGTTACTCAATTACCTAACTTTAATTTTAAAATCATTTTCTCCGTGTTCTCTTACTTTTGATACTTCCACCAGAGGAAATAAATTAAAGATAGAGTAATATCGAATCTTCTATATTCGTATGGTTCATTGTACTTTTTATCTTAACTTGTTGTCATCTGAATTTGCATATGCCACTTCTACTCCTTTTTGAAATTTTTAATGTATTGCAAAATTGAAACTCTAGAGTAGGTCCTTGGGATACACCACAGCCTGTATCTCCACTTTCATACTTGCCAACCAATTTTTAGCAAATGACAAAGGAGCAGGAGCAGGCGTAGGCCAATTGGCTCCTCAAGCCTACTCCACTGTCCAATAAGATTATGCATAGATTTGAGGTTCTCACACTATCTACCAGTGATAAACTCACCCCTTGATTAACAAGAATATAACCTATCTCTGCCTTAAAAATATTCAAGGTCTCTGCTTCCACCACCTCTTTCAGGATTCTCAAGATTCATGACTCTCTGAGAGGAAAAAGTTCTTTGTCTAATCTCCTATTTTAAATGGATGACCCCTGATTTTTAAACAGTGTCTTCTAGTTCTTCATTCTGCTAATAAAGAAATATCCTCTCTGCATCTACCCTGTCAAGATCCCTCCGGAACCTTTTGTTTCATTTAAGCCTAGCCTGTCCAGTCTTTGCTCATTAGACAACTCACTCATTCCAGGTAACTTTCTGAACTGCCTTCAATGCATTTACATCCTTCCTCAAATAAAGGTGACCAGTACCATTCATAGCATTCATAGTACTCTACTTAGCAGTGCCCTATATAACTGAAGCAGAACTTTCCTCCTCTTGTGTTCAGTTCCCCCACAACATACTATTAACTCAACTCATTACTTGGAGTACGTGCATAGCAAGCTTTTGTGATTTGTGCACAAGAACGCCAAGATCGCTCTGTACCACAGAATGTTGCAATCTCTTACCAGTTAGATAATATACTTTTATGTTCTTCCTGCCAAAATAGATAATTTCATGTTTTCCTGATGATCCATTTGCCAGATCTTTGTCCACTGTTTTCTCCCATCTGTTGCTCTAAGCTATTGCTTTTAACAACTAAGCCAGAGACTTTATCATTTGTGAACCAGTTAATATGTGCGTTCTGTGAAGGTGTGAAAGAACCTGAAGGAAAAGATCAGTGAACAGAAGGACTTGTGAAACAAAAAGGCATGCCTCATGGAATTCTGAGGATTGATTCCATTGAACTCTTTGCCCACTTTCTTTTTCTCCCCTGCACCCATACTGCCAGTGTTTTTTTTTTAATCTCTTTCTGTCAGTATGTATGTGTGGGAGTTTTAGAAGAGGGCTCCAGTTTTAACCAGTAGAGCCATATGTTGATAGATCGTAGCTGTGGTTAGAATCTATTTATTTGTAACAAATGGTACTATATATTAAGTACAGAAGCCTGGTCTGTATTTTCTGTTAACCTGTTTCTCAGATGGGTAAAATGAGGACTTTGCATACTTTTGTGATAACTTCAGGAATAGTGTTTGATTTCCAGCATGCTACCCCAGTGAGGTGTAACACTTCTTATTTTCTTTCCATTATCAATTTTCTAGACTCCATTTTCATTTGGACCATGCTCCTCTAACATTTTTAAAAAAAATAAAGTCTTCCCATCTTTTTGCTATTTCTGGCAAGCTTTTTGTCGTACTCCTAACTGTCCCTCATTATCTGTTGGACCATTCTTTGCTTTTTATTTCATACGTTCTGTCCAATCTGCTGGTCTGCCAACTGACGTTGCACAGTAACATTGTTTCCCCTCAAACTTGATACTATCTTTTAACTTTTCTCAATAACCACAGATGGTGGTTCTGTCCCTTGGGATTTTTCTTAATCTTTGTAATGTATTTATTCTGTGCATTCTAAGAGAGTCCCTTTTAATGTTTGCAACTCTCTTTATCTGTCTTTTAACTTAATTCATCTATTCTCTTTAGCCACCTTTGCTTTTGTGCTGTCATAATTGCCCTTACTTAAATTTTAAAAATATATTCTTGGATCCGCTCCTCTTTCCCTCAATGCGAATGTAAAATCCAAACATTATGGTTGCTCCTCCTTAGGGGTGTCTTCACCATGAGCTCCTGTCTCAAAGCACAATACCAGATTTGATGTATCCCGCTGTCTGGGTCCAGAGCATGATGATGTAAGAAAATATCCTGCAAAGACGCTACAATCTCCTCATCTGGACTACATGACTTTTCCAGCCTATAGGTAGATTAAAATCTCCCAAGGTTGTCATCTTGCCTTTCTAACAAGCTCCCAATATTTATTTCCTTGTGCTTCACCCTATTGTGCCATTGCTACTATTGTTCTGTACACCACTTCCAAGTTACCTGTTGCCTTTTACCAATTTTTAAAAATCTCCACCCAAACAGTTTGCCAATACTTTTTTGAGTTTAGTCATCCCTTGCTGTTGTGCTAGTGTCATCATGAACTAACTCTCTAGTCTGATGGCCATATCCAATTATGTATGTTCTCATTTTGGCTTTTTTGAGACTGAAGAATCAGCTGAAATATTTGTGATTGGATTTGCGAGTGGATTTTTAAAGCTTCTGTCGAATATAAAAAGCTTTTCTGTTCAGTTGTATATTTTGATTTTTGATTCCAAGTTTGATGTTCTATATCTTCAGTAATTTAATGATTTCCTAAATTAGTATTTGGGTGCAAGATTGTTTGTATTTAGTATGAAAATGTAAGAAGTAAAAGCTATGACACTCTTCCAGGTGATGGTGATGTAGTGGAGCAGGTCATCAGCCAACAGACAGATGATCAGTATGAGAATGGCCAGGAACCCAGCCTTCTAGATGATGCTATTAGGGAGCTCCAGCGAGAACATGACCTGAGGCAGGGAAACGAAGGAGCAGCTGTACCGGATGGCCCTTACAGTAGATCGAACTTGCGGAACAGTGGTGAGTAACACTGCAGATGATGAAATGTGGCAGAACTCAATTCTATCCTAAAATGTTATCTTATTTACTTTCAAGCAGATGAATTAACTTCTTAAAAATATTACATACGTGATTTTAATACAGGGAATGTAAATGGTACATTTTTTTAAAAATATAAATCATTGTACTAAATGAAGTTGCAGTTATATGTTAGTGTTTGAAACCTCTTTGTGAGAGCCTCAGCACTTGACATTTTTTTAAACTGTAGAGTTAGAGTTAGATAGATGTACAAAACCTTCAATTTCCTTTTTATTATGGAGCAGGTTGTCTTTTGTCCCCTGTGTCAATGAAGTGCAGAACTTTTAAACATAAATATAAACAAATTTAAGATCAATACTGGACTATTACAATTTGTGCTAATCTGTTCTTGAAAACGGTAAAATATTCCTTAAATTTTATTTTATTGTTAATTGAGTCCTGATGGTAAACCATTCAAAGAAGACCAAAATGATCTTTGCGTATGTAATGACGTGAAAGATTATTGGGATAATTATATACCATGTCCAGTAACACCTATTGGTTGCTTGTTTATATCTTACTCAATTGAAGTAATTAAATTGGGTGAGGTACAAAACTTGTATCCAAGCTGACTGTTTCCCAAATAGGAGGATAGAATCCACACGGTCCTTCTTCCCATTCCCACCATTACCACTAGTTTATTCGTTAAGGAACTGATTTAATGGTGAGGATTTTATTCCCTCTTGTACAATTATTAATTATCAATATAGAATATTCTGTGTGGCATGCTGCATTTACTTTATCTACCGCTTTACTGTTCTGTTGTTCTGCAAAATGCTGTTGAGCTGCATACTTTGGTAGTGTAGCCCAAGCAGTACTGAATCAACAAATGCATCAGATTTGATGGCACAAATGAAAGGATGTGGATGAAAAGATATCTTAGCCTTGAAGTGTTTCTGTTAAATTCAGGAAGCATTAAAGCTGATAATACTATCAGAATATTTTTAAGCTCTGGATATGTTGTTCTGAATGTGTCAGTATATTTTGTTCAAATATGTATTCAAAATAAACTTTCATGTTTTAGCCTTGCTGTCCCCCATTGGACTTCGACGGAGTGGTCAAATAGAAGGTGTTCGCCAAATGCATAATAATGCCCCTCGTAGTCAGATGGCTACAGAGAGAGACCTGATGGCTTGGAGCCGAAGGGTGGTAGTCATGGAGCTTCCACCTGGAATTAGCAGGTAGAGATATTTTTAAATGCACCATAATTTTCAAATTGATCTGTATAAGACTGGTTACTTCAACAGAGTGTAAACACTTTAAGATACTTTTGAAACCACGAGACCTGTTAGTCTTTTTTTATCTTTTTTGAAAAATAGGCCCTTTCGATTTTAATACTGGATTAAAGCCCTTTCACTTAAAAGTTTTTCCGTTTGACTCCTGTTTATGTTGTCCATCAGCAAAGCTATGCACTTCAGTTTGATTGTGACTGCAAATAAGAATATAAGTTATAAGCAGAAGTTGCCCATTTTGCTCCATGTTCTGCCTTTCCAGATCAAGAATCTGTTCAACTCAAGTTTGTACATATTCAATTTCCAGCCTTCACTGCTCTATTGTAGAAGATTCAAATATTAGCTCAAAAGAAATTCTTCTGAATTGCACTCTCAAATGGGAGGACCTTTCAGTTTGAAAAAAAGTATGGGCAATATTTCAAGGCCTGGTCTATTTTAATACTGGATTAAGGCCCTTTCACTTAAAAGTATCTGAGATTTAGATTTTTACCAACAGGCTGATAATATGCGTACCCTCTATCCAACTGACATCATTCTAAAGTTTTTGTGACTATTTGCTGGATTGATTATCGGTCTTGAAATTGGGAAAACTCTCTTTTTAATGCAGACTATTAAGCCATGTCTGTAAGAAGAGTTGTTTGTTGTTTATCTGATACTGTTGCTATATTGATACAGAAGTAAAGGTTTTACTTGTAGGAAAAGATTGTAAATTACCAGAATGAACATGCCATTATATTAGAGAGCGATAGAGGGGTTCATTTTGTGACGTCCATGCTTGAATCTTCTTAATGTGGTATTCCGTGACACCGCCTTAGCGAACTGGAATGGTTTGAATGGCAGATGTATCCTATTGGTTACTTGTAGTTAATTAGTTAATCAGAGAACATTCCTTATAGTATAACTACTTGTATATTTTGAATGTAAATTTGAACAGCGTGTTTAGCCTACAATTTTTGAATTTATCTGGATTTAGTTCTGTTTTCCTTGGCACATAACCCACAAGTTCAGGAAGGCGAATAAATATGTACATGAATGTTCTTAGGAAGAAATGAATGTTATCCACTTAAAAGTCCTCCATTTCAGGTTTCAAGAGGAACTTCGACTAAGTAAAGGCGATGGAGAAATTAACTTGTACACAATTGAAAAGAAACGTAAACCACTGCAACCAACACAGAAGGTAAGCAGAAAAAGGCGTTCATTGTGCACAGTTCTGCCATCAGTGTTCAGTTCTAGCACTCCCTTCCTAATTATTCAACTCATCTTGTTTGCAGTGCCTTTGGAATTGACTTAGCAACTTTCAGCTGCCTGCGGAAGTTCTCATTAAGGACCTCACCCACTTCCTCTGGTTCCATGCATAAAATTCCCTTTTGTCCTTGAGTAGACCTATCCTTTCCCTAGGTACCCTCTTGCTCCTCATTCATATAAAATACCTTGGGATTCTCCTTGATTCTATTACCAAGGACATTTCACAAGCCCCTTTTTCGACTTTTTAATTCTGTGTTTAAGTTATTTCCTGCTTCCTTTATATTCACAAGGGCCTCATTTGATTTCAGTTTCCTAAATCTTACATCTGCATCCTCCTTCTTTTTGACTGAACTTTCAATATCGCTTGTCGTCCAGGATTCTTGAATCTTGCCAATCTTTCATCCTCACAGAAACATGCTGGTCCTGAAGTCTATTCAACTGGCCTTTAAAAGACTCCCATATTTCAGATGTGGATTTACCCTCCAACAACTGTCCCCCCATCTAATTTCTCCAGTTCTTGCCTAAAACTATTGAAATTAGCCTAACCCCAAATTTGCACTTTCACCTGAGAACTAATCTTATCCTTATCCATGAACTATATTAAAACTCATAGAATTATGATCATTGTTCTCAAAGTGCTCCCCAGCTGAAACTTCAATCAGCCGGGCTAATTCCACAGTACAAGGTCTAGTATGGCGCTTTCCCTGGTTGGACTATCTACATACTGTTTCAAGAAGCCCTCCTGAATACACCTAAAAAATTCTGCCACATCTAAGCCCCTGGCTGTAAATGAATCCCAGTCAATATTGGAGAAGTTAAAATCACCAACTACCACAATCCTGTTGTTTTTACATCTTTCCATGAACTGTCACAGGCTCAGAGGTAGGACAGTGCTATAAGAGCTGCAAACTGACATTTTTATATTTATAAAAAATAGTCTAGGTTGTTACGCATCACTGAAGTAGGGTGCTGGAAATCGAGCCCTGCTGTTCCCAAGTTATCACAAAAGTTAGAATGTGCACAATTTCCCAATTCATCTGTCATTTAGACCCAAGTTGACAGAAAGCACAGACCAGATATGTGTTTTTAAAAACATAACAAGTAATTAGACTGTAGCTATGGTTAAACAATCAGCATGTAACTCTACTAATTTAAAGCTCTAATTCACGTATAACCTGCTTCTGCGCCACACACGCCCCAGTGTTCCGGATGGAATGAAAGACTGAAAAGGTTATGACTTATCCATAGCTTACAGCAACTGCTGAAGGAAAGAGAAACTGGTTAACTTCAGACTCAAAATAGCTTTTACTGCAGAGAGCAGAGAAAGCTCCAGCAGATTGTTTCTCTATATATTGTTCACCGCTCCAAGCTGTTTAGCTAGCTGAAAACCCATCAAATAGTTGTTGGCAGGTAGAAGGCCTTTGTCATTGGCTGAGCCTAGAGAGCAGTTATCAATCAGCTACTTATCCCACCCTAAGCTCCATCACTGTACAACCTCTCAGCCCTAGTTTATGTGCAACGCACAATTTGACCACTGTTTGAACAAGCAGTTGTGTAAACAGTGCTTACAATTAGTGTCGCCACTTGCTTTGAAAAAACATTTTCCCATTTCAACCCACTACTTAAAATACAGAAAAACTAGACAAAATCAAGTTTTACATAAGGTGAAATCAAGATCTATTTAATCCTTTGCTCCCCTACCATTTAGCTATGATGAGTCAACATTGTTACTACAAAAGCAAGGCAAATGAGTCCTAGAATTTGCACATCAGTGTTTCAGAATGAATCAACATGGTGACAGTTCTTCTATAATTCAAAATTTCTGGTGTTACCTAGAAAATAATGTTCTCGGGGTGACTGGCTGGAAGAGGATATGTGTAAAATATTAAATTAAACCATGTCTTATTGCAAACCCTATTCATTTCTTTATAGAGCGATGGTCAGGAATTTTTCCAGCGCACAGGGAGGCGGACTCAACGCCGTAATCAGCATTTCTACCACACTCGTTCGACTGTGGAACGTCGAACTTGTATTCGTCGGATAGAAGAATCTAATAATTCTTCAGAGGTCAGTAACTATGGATTTTAAATAAACTATTCTAAAACCTCTGCTCACTACTCCTAAAAAAAACTATTTATTGCCTGCAGCAGGCAATTCGAGCCATTGTATCTTTGTCAGCTCTTTGAGAGAGCTACCAATTGGTCCCACTCATCTGCTTTTCCAAAGCCAACAATTTTTCTTCTTTTGTGTAGTTATTCAACTCAGTTTTGAAAGGTCTGATTAAAACTTCTTTTGAGGTTGCTCAAACCCTGCTTGGGCTTTCCGTGGTTGGCTGGGTTTCTTCGACTTCTAGAACACACAGAACTGAGGAAATCAAGAAGATCTTTAGTGTGAAATTAAATGCTTGTGTGCCAGAAGCAGCAAGATTACATATCCAACTCCTGAGACAGGGCTTACTATTACTGTGGCCTGTTTGTGATTCCTTCTCCGTCTGACTGGAAGGCAAACTTGTCAGTCAGGCAGCCTTCAATACGGTGAACCTCTTGCTACAACTTGGGAGTAGTGTGTAGGGTTTTGGGCTCCTTACCAAAGAAAACTGTATTTTTTAATAAGTGTTTTAAAAAAAAAACTACTCCCAAGTGTGTTCTCACCAAGGTTTAATATGATTGAAAATATGGTCTCTACTTCATACTCGCATTCTCTTGTAATAAAGGCCGAAATACCATTTTCTTGCTGTTGCTTGCTGTTTCTTTCCTGTTTGAGGCAGATCATTGCAAGTTTTCATAGATCAACACCATTGTCTTTCATGTCTTTAAATTAGAATACTAATTTTTTGAGAGCTAACTCCCTATCCTGTGGTAATGTTTCCCTATGGGTTCTCCTCCAGTAGTTGAGGCTTCTGTTACACAGTTCTGCATTGCTACCTGAAAATATGGTAGCATATGCAACCCTTCAGTCCCCTGGCACGGCTTCTATCCTGAGAGGATTGAAAACTTGTTGTCCTGGCCTCTGCTATTTCCATTTGTCCTTCCATCAGCAAACTACGATGCATCCCATCCAGATTTAATGACTTTTAAACTTTGAAGTACAGCAGTTCTTGTTTAAATGCACCTATCTATTTTTAACCTTGTCCAACTCGTATCCCATTTCCTTATTGCCTCCTCCTTAAATGTTTCCAGCATTCTTCAGCGACAGTTTTTTTTTGCGAAGTACTCATTTAAAGCAAAAGCAAAATATTTGGATTCTAGAATTCTGAAAGAAAAAAACGTACACAAAAGATCATTTACTTGGACATTAACCTTAATTCTCTTTTTAGTATCATGGTCATTATTTTTACTTACACAGGAAGATTTCCTTTGCGATCCTTAATCAGACCCAACCACTCTGAATGTTCTTTTACCATTTTTTATATGTACATAATATACTGTAATGTTGCACTTATTTGCTAATCTTCTCAAAGGGTTGTTTTGCTCCATTTATTTTTAATTTTCTTCACTTTTTGTATTCTGCTTGGCTGTTGAGTATTGTGAACCTGACAGGCCACTTTGTATCAGACTTCCCTGATCCAATTAAAACATTTCATTTTGACTCTTCTATTCAATGAAGCTGAGTTTTATTAACTAGTCTTTGATATGATTCTTGCAACATTTCCAATAACGGTGATAATTTTCATAAATCTGGAAATATTTTCACATCAGTACTTAAAAGTGTGGAGGTAGGAGACAACGGGTGGTGGTAGAAGGTTGCTTTTTGGACTGGAGACCTGTGACCAGCAGTGTCAAGGATCGGTGTTCGGTCCACTGCTTTTTGTCATTCACATAAACTATTTGGATTGAATATAGGAGGCATAGGTAGTAAGTTTGCAGTTGAAACCAAAATAGGTGGTGTAGTGGACATTTGTAGTCTGGAATAATCTTCTTCAATGTGACCTTGATCAGATGGGCCAATGGGCAGAGGAGTGGCAGATGGAGTTTATTTTCGATAAATATGCGGTGTTGCATTTTGCTAAGGCAAACCAGGGCAGGATTTATACACTTAATGGTAGGGCCCTGGGGAGTGTTGTTGAGCACAGAGATCTAGGGGTGCAGCTGCATAGTTCGTTGAAAGTGGTGTCACAGGTAGACTGGTTTGAAGAAGGCATTTGGCATGCTTGCCTTCAGTGGTCAGAATGGAGTTGGGAAGTCATGTTGCAGCTGTACAGGACTTTGGTGAGGCTACTTTTAGAATACTACAATTCTGGTCACCCTTCTCCGGGAAGGATGTTGTTAAACTTGAAAGGGTGCAGAAAAGATTTACACAGATGTTGCCAGGTTTGGAGGGTTTGAGCTATAGGGAGAGGCTGAATAGGCTGGGGCTTTTTTCCTTGGAGAATTGGAAGCTGTGGGGTGACCTTAAAGAGGTTTTTTAAAATCATGAGGGACATGGATAGAGTGAAGAGCCAAGGTCTTTTTTTCCTGGGAAAGGGGAGTCCAAAACTAGAGGGCAAGGTGAGAAGGGAAAGATTTAAAAGGGACCTCGGACAACTTTTTCATGCAGAGGGTGGTGCATGTATGGAACGAGCTGCCTGAAGAAGTGGTGGAGACTGGTACAATTAACACCATTTAAAACGCACCTGAATGGGTATTTGAATAGGAAGGGTTTAGAGGGATATGGGCCAAATGCTAGCAAATGGGACTAGGTCAGAGTAGGGTGTCTGGTTGGCACTAATGAGTTGGACTAGGCTGTATGACTCTGACTCTGTAAGTTACTATGAAATTTTGCATATACAAAGTTGTTGGACATTGTTGGCCACTAAGGAAAGTAACTTGCATTTATATAGCATTTTTTCATGATCACCAAATATCTTAAAATGTTTTGCAGACAGCGATGTGGTCCACAAGATCCTGACATTTGATAATTACCAAAAATTGGTTTTGGATGTTGATTTAATGAGCAACTATTGGCTGAGTCATGATGGATAACTACCCCTACTCTGCTTAGTACATGTGAGAAGGCACAGTCTGCTATTGTCTCCTTTGAAAAATCACACCTGCAACAGAGCAGCCTTGATTTTTGATCTTAATACCAGCGACTCTGACTTAGCCAATCTCTTGACTCTGTTGTCTTCAGCCGCATCATCACTTCTGACCTTATGACGTTGAGGATGTGTACTGTTGACTGTGTGCACTGTTGAGCACCATTTGTAACACTTCAGATAGTGAGAATCCATGGTCTAAATGCAGCATGGTGGACTAAGTGGCAAGGACTATTTGTGCCACATGAGTGCCAGACAATAACAGTCTCCAGCAAGACAGAATCTAATCACTGTCCATTGACATTCAGTGGCATTACGATTTGCTGAATTGCCCATTATCAGCGTGCTTGGGGTTACTCATTAACTAGAAACTAAGCTGGACCAGCTGTATAAATGCTATGGCTCACAGATGAGCAATTCTGCAGCGAGTAAATGTCTTCCCGTCTCCCCAAAGCCTGTCCAGTACCAACAGTGCACAAGCTGGGAGTGTGATAGAACACTTACCACTTACCTGAATGAGTGCAGCTCCAAGATCATTCAAGAACCTTGACACTATTGAGGCTTGATAAAGCAACCCGCTGGATTTGCATCCTATCCACCACATTTGACATTTGACTCTTCACCACCAATGCATAGAAGTAGCAGTAGTGCATACAATCTACACGATGCACTGCAGTGACTCACCAAGACTCATCCAGCAGCACCTTCCAAACCTGCAACTTCTACCATCGAGAAGGAAAATGGCAGCAATGCATGGGAACACCACTATTTGCAGGTTCCCCTACAAGCAACACACCATGCTGATTTCGCACTATATTGCTGTTCTTTCACTTCATTGGGTCAAAAACCCGGAACTTCCAGTAACCCAATAACCTGCAAGGACTGCAACACTTTAAGTAGCCAGCTCATTATCCTTTCTCCAGGGCAAATAAAAATGTGCAATAAACACTGTCCTAGCTAGCAATGCCCAGGTGTCATAGATCTTCCAAGTAGCTGCCTGTCTCTGCAGCAGCAAGCAAGTGCTCTTTCAATCCTTACTTTTAACCCTTACTTATATATTCGTCCCCTACTTCGGACCTGTGAGAAAGCCATACTTCTGTAAGAAATCTACACTTATACACACTTCCCCTTCAGTGGGGCCGCTGATCAGTAAGTGTCTGAGCCATATTTAGAATAACCTTTCCTTGCAAAAAATCTACCTACAAAGCATACTGTGAGAAGAAGAAATGGTTAGCTGAAAGGAAACCCGTTTGTGACCTTCTTCAGAAGGGTCTAGGCCCGAAACGTCCGCCTTCCTCCATTGCTGCTCCTGCTTGGCCTGCTGTGTTCATCCAGCTCTACACCTTGCTATCTCAGATTCTCCAGCGTCTGCAGTTCCTACTATCTCATAGATCATCTGTCATTTTCTCAGTTGTGATTTAAGCACCTCATGCTATGTCCTGTAGGTGGCATAGTTCCTCTTTCGTTGGTATCCTGTGCCACAGTAAGGGAAACGGAACAATATCCTTCCGTACTTTATAATCATTCTCTGATAAGTGTAAGGTTTAGAAAAATGAGGTTTATCATTGCAATGTTTAGAAATTTAAAAGTTTTAATTGAAATCTTTAAATGAATAATTAAGAAAATTAACCATGAGAGACCACCACGTGCAGGATCTACTTAAAGGTTTTTTGCCTTTCTCAATTAACAAGCTGAACAAGAGAGAAAAAGAATAAGTCCCAAGTCCTAATCACTAGACAAGTGTGGGGAACTGGGGCCAAGCTAATGTGTTGAGTTTAACTTACACAGACCTTTGCTTGTAATCGGGTACACACTTGGTAGAATTCACATGAAAGTGATGGTCACAAACGGGTTTCCTTTCAGCTAACCATTTCTTCTTCTCACAGTATGCTTTGTAGGTAGATTTTTTGCAAGGAAAGGTTATTCTGAATACGGCTCAGACACTTACTGATCAGCGGCCCCACTGAAGGGGAAGTGTGTATAAGTGTAGATTTCTTACAGAAGTATGGCTTTCTCACAGATCCGAAGTAGGGGACGAATATATAAGTAAGGGTTAAAAGTAAGGATTGAAAGAGCACTTGCTTGCTGCTGCAGAGACAGGCAGCTAGTTGGAAGATAGTTCCCAAAGGAACAGGCCGCGGGATGTTCCAGGCAGGAAACAAACTAGTCTACAGATGTTGGTGACAATGGGTCAGGGCTAGACACTGAGTAACTGTATGTTTATTTTTGATAAAGGTTTCAATGGACAATAACCCCTAATGTGATAGTGTAGGAGCTGTATACCACTGATAGTTAACTGTATGGTGCAGTTAGATATACTGATTATGCTAGATGTGGATAGTATTAATATAGTTTTGGGGTTGTGTCAACCTGTTTGTGTAATGGTATAAAAGAAGTATTTCTTACCATTATATTTGGAGAGAGTTCAAACTCCTGAGTGAGCCTTGGACCCCCTCCCCCTGCATCTACGCCGGTGTTTTGCTTGAATAAATTTCTTAAGAGCTGCTTTCCTTTGCTGTCACCGAGTCTCTAACTGCCTTTACAAAGGTCATTGTTACAACATGCACAACTCATTTGCCCACCCTCACTGACACTGGCTCAATCTTCTGTTTGCTCACCCATCACTGTCACACCTGTAGTAATGGAGTGTGAATTTTGGTCAGAAGAGTTTTTGATTTCCACCTTTGTGTGGAAAAGTGCTTCTCAACATCACTCTTAAATAGTCTAAATTCACTTTTAAGTTTACAATGTTTCTAGCAATATAGAACACAAAATTTCAGTACTTTTGAACAAACATAACTGGATAGCTTCATGTTATCTGTGGCTGGAACAAAAGTCAAGATCTCGACAAGCTAGTAGCCTTCATCTACCTTAAAAGCTACTGCATTACAGGTAGCAGCCAAAGTCCTTGGTATCTGGTATTGATTCAGTCATTTGTTAGTGAGCTCTCCAGGACAAGGAAATAAAGGTTATTTGAACATTGTTCAGTTACCTTTGTGGACCGATTTTGATTTTAAAATTGTAGAATTGAAGCTTTTTTATGTTGAGGCTTTATTTCTTGTTCAAACTGCAAGTATGTATGATATATCAGACAAATATTTGAATTAGGACCAGGTATCGTTCACTCAGACCCTTGAGCCTTCTCAGTCATTGTTATCTGATGAAAATAACCACTGGTATTTTCTCATTTAATACTTTGCTGTTTCTGGCAACCAGGAAATGGAGACTATAGATGGAAGTGAGGGGTCATCTGATGAGGTTGAAGAAGAGTGGCAGAGTGAAAGCAGTTCAAGGTAAGAGACTTTTGAATACTGTTAGTGGGTTCAGATGCTAACTCGAGTTCATGAACATAATTAATTCAGCTGTATGTTGCATGCATTATTGTGTTTACCACCACCAGACAGTGACTGACATAAGAAAATAAGATGTATTGGCAGACCATTCAGCCATTCATCCATTCAAACTGTTCCACCTTTTCATATGATCAATCTTCTACCTCACTACTTCACGTCCAAAAACCTGTTGATCTTTGACTTTAGTATACTTGACAACTGAGCATCCACAGCTCTGCAGTGCAGAATTCTAAAGATTCACGACTCTGCGTGAGAAAATTTTCCTCATCTTCACTCTGAGTGAACAGTTGCTCATTCTTAAATTGTGACCTCTAATTCTTGATGCTGAAAACCCTAAAGAATTTTTCATGTATCAATTCAATCACTTCTTATTCTTTTAAACGCTAGGATATAAAATGCAGGTTTACTTAATCACTCCTTGTTGGGCAGTACCCTGATCCCAGGAATCAGTTCAGTGATGTAATTTTCAATGCATCCTGCCTAAAACAAAAATATCTATCTTCAGGAGATTAAAACTAAATGCAGTTTTAACAAACCTCTATATAACTACAGGAAAGGCTTCTTTTACTTTGATACTCCAATTGCTTTGGTTCTTTCAGTTTGTGCTGGTGACTATGCTCCATTTGAGCCACCTCCCATCTTTTCTGTTTTACAATTTCATGCTAATCCCTTTTTGAATAGCAATTATTCATGAATATCATCATTTCAAACCATTGGCCAGGATCTTAACAGCAAGAATACAAAATCAATGCTATTACTGGGTTAGTAGGTTCCCAGACAGGAGCCCAGCTTGATGGATCATAATTTTGTGTTTTTTGATTTTAGCAAAATTGTCTATTTCTGAACCATAAGTATGCAACACTGCAGTTTTTGTTTTAACAATAGCACAATGTCCCTTTTTATTTTAAATAAACTTCAGGTAAAATAGAATAATCTAACATAGCTACTTACAATCCAGATTCAGTTATTTAGACATACACTAAAGGAATAAGCCCATTAATCCCAAAACACTCCTTTATAAATTGAAAAGAAACGAAATAGCCAAATGCCCAGAGTACCTCTGCTACAGTTCTCTGAAACACTACCTGATAACACACTCACTGGAATCCCTGTGTCTAACATTTTGGCAGGTGTAAATCACTTGCAACTTGAACTTTTAGCTGGAGCTATGATAGCTTCTTCCTGGAGCTACCCCACACTTGAGATTCCGTGTACCCATCTTAAATAACCACTTTTTTGGGTTTTCACCAACACTTCTGGTCTGGGACTAACTAACTTTTCATTCCAAGTTAATCTCATTCACTAAATCTGTCATTCTTGTCTAAGGAGTTCTGCTGTATACAACCATCTTATTTCAAAGCCTTCCTAAGACAACATGCAAAGTTAAAATGAAACTACAAGTCTAAGTTATGAGCATTTCCCTGAAGCTTAAAACTCGGTATGGTCAAGAATCTAAACTTTTAAAAAGTTAAAATTAAAGTTAAATTTAAGTTTTAAAAAAGGTGCACTAGTGCATAAATCCATTCACTGTACAGCCAGATGTTTAAAAAACTTTATTAAAAGAGATCATCATGATTGCAAAAGTACTTCTAAGACAACTACTAACTTCAGACACATAGAAAAATCCAAACTCATCCAAAATACAACGAGCAATTATACATGTAAATCCCACCGTTCAGCCACATTACCAAAGTGGATAATATATATCTCCATATTTATATTCCGTCTATCACATTTGTGCAACCCATTTAATCATTCCAAATCCTTTGCAGTGTCTTTGCATAGAACATAGAATAGTACAGCACAGGCCCTTTGGCCCACGATGTTGTGCCGAACTTTTATCCTAAACTAAGGTCTGTATAACCTCCACCCCAACCTTATACTATATCCATATGCCTATCTAATTGCCGCTTAAATGCCCCTAATGAGGCCGACTCCACTACCCTCTCCGGCAATGCATTCCACGCCCCTACCACTCTCTGAGTAAAGAACCTACCTCTGACGTCTCCCCTATATCTACCTCCACTCACTTTAAAGCTATGCCCCCTCTTAATAGCTATCTCCACCCTAGGAAAAAGTCTCTGGTTGTCCACTCTATCTATACCTCCGATCATTTTGTATACCTCTTATCAAGTCACCTCTCGTCCTTCGACGTTCTAAAGAGAAAAACCCTAGCTCTCTCAAACCTTTCTTCGTAAGACTTTCCCTCCATTCCAGGCAACATCCTGGTAAATCTCCTCTGCACCTTTTCCAACACTTCCACATCTTTCCTGTAATGAGGCGACCAGAACTGGACACGATACTCCAGATGTGGCCGAACCAGGCTTTTGTATAGCTGGAGCATAACTTCACGGCTCTTGAACGCAATCCCTCTAATTAATGAAAACTAACACACCATATGCCTTCTTAACAACTCTATCCACCTGGGTGGCAGCTTTCAGGCAACTGTGGACATGAACCCCAAGATCCCTCTGCTCCGCCACACTGCCAAGAATCTTTCCCTTAACTCTGTATTCTGCTTTCACATTTGTCCTTCCAAAATGAATCAGGGTTAAACTCCATCTGCCACTTCTCAGCCCAGCTCTGCATCCTATCAATGTCCCTTTGTAACCTAGAACAGCCCTCCGCATTATCCACAACTCGACCCACCTTTGTATCACCCGCGAACTTGCTAATCCACCCTTCCACTCCTACATCCAAATCATTTACAAAAATCATCCTCTCTCAGCTTATTTTCCTACCTACCTTTGTATTGTTGATTAATTTGAATAAGTTTACAATATTCCCCTCCTGTCAGTTATCAATATGGATTGTAAGTACCTTGGGTCCAAAAGGTGATCCTTGAAATAGGTCACTTCTTATAATGTACCAATCTGACAGTGACTGTTCATTTCTCCTTTTCTTTCAACAAATTATCAAGCTATTCACATCTATCATCCCCCAACCCTCACCCTGTCAAATTCATTGAGTATAGTTTAGTATCACGGCCTCTTGTGTAGGATCTTGTTGAATACTCTATGAAAAGCCAAATACACTGAATGTAGGGCCACCCATTGTCCATTCTACTATTTATGTCCTCAGGAAAAGATCAGAATTGTTAAACACATCAGATGTTAAACATTCAATTAGGTCTTTGTTTTTGACCAGTGCAGACTTGATTTGACACAGCAATAAAAAAAGTCCTTTGGTCTAAGTGTCGAGCAAGCCAAATCAAAGTAGCCTCACTATCACTAGATTCACAGCTCAGTGAAATTAAAACGTTCCGTGATCCCCTCATTTGCTCAATTGATCCTAACCAGCCTTTCTGAATAACAGATCTCGGACACCAAGTTTATAACTTAAGCAAAAATTAACAACTTCTTATTAATAATGTAACCTTAGTAGATCACACTTAAACAGCAAGGAAATCTAATTAATATCTATAATCCAAGCCCAGTGTTCTTTGTTCATCAAACCCTCTCTCTCACTGGCAGACATAAGGGATAAATTTTGACTGAATTTCAGGCCTTCGTGAATCCTTACATGATTTGTTGTATTACAGGTACCAAGTCTGTATATCTTGCTTGAATTTTGAAGTCATAAACCAATGCGAACAGCTCCTTTGAACTACGTAATAATTTATACTATTGGGTGTGGCTGATTTGTTAGCTTTTAGTCCCTTCAGTACTGTTTTCTTTGCTTATATTTACAACCTTTTGAGTCCTTTCTCAAATGATTTTTGTATTATCTACTGTGAAGACAGATGCAAAGTATTTATTTTCTTCAATTTCCTTAACGCATTATATAAACTCCCTAGTGTCTCCCTCTAAGGGATTTGTATTTTTTTATGCTAATCTCATCTTCTGTAGAAGCTTCTATAGGTACACAAAACTTAGTCTATAGTTGATTTACTCTCTAAATTTTAAAAATCCTCGCAAACCTCAGGCATTCTTTTTGGGAACATTTATGAGGTCCTCCCACTTAATCTATCCATTGTTTAACTATCATCATATATTTTAATCCCGTTTCCTAATCTGCCTTGACCAGCTCATTGCTTATAACTGACGGTGTTTCATGCTTTTGATTCAACGATATGTCAAATTCATTATAAGTGTTTGTCATATTATTAAAATTGATTCCCAGCAGCTCTCTTATTATGAGGTTATTAATTTAACTACCTCATCGCTTAAAACAAGATGTAAAAATAGTCTTTCTGTAGTGATTCATTGACATATTTATCTGGCAATCATCTGCTTTAAACGCATTCTTCATTGCCTACACTCGTGCTGCAAATTTGACCAATCTTGATGAAGATTCAAGTCTCCCATGATTGAACAATCATTCTTGTTTTATTTACTCTAATTTCCTAAATTACACGCTCTTCGAGCTAAAATCGATTTCCTTCTACTTTTCTCACCTCATTGTTTGATATCTGGGTAATTCCTCCCTCCTCCAGTTTGCTTATCTTTTCTAAAGGTAAAGAATGCTGGAATAGTTAATCCCCAACCTTGGTAACTCCTAATGGCTCTTGGAACAAACAAATTTGTTTTTGTTCTGTTAATTGATCTGTTTTGATATGAGTGCTTTGTCCATTCAATCTCTGGCTTTAATTTGACTTTCTTTATTCTTATTCTTCTGATGTTACCTTGATTACTAATGCTCCAAAGCATTTATTAAATGCTATCCAATTCCTGATCCACATTGGGGTGAAATAAAAAAACTGCAATCACTGATCTACCCAATGTCCTCAACAGTTTCTCTTACTGATTTTGAATTTCCCTCTCCTGAATTCTCCCAACCCAACCCTGTTGACCTATTTTGCAGAGCAGTCTTGTAGATTTTTAGATGTAAGAAAATGAATGACTGTTTTAGTGATTTATTTGTCATTTTCTCTGAAAATGACGTAGAATTATGTCCACTTCACTAAACGAATTTAGCTTAAATCAATTTTATTGGAAGCCTGTAAAATTGTAATGCCCTGCTCACAGGGGGAGCAGAGGCAAGAATTGCATCCCATTTTAAGGAAAAAATATTTATGAAAACTCTTGTGTTTTTCAACGGGTCTTATGACAGTAAGTCCAGAAAACATGCAGAAGGGCATTTCAAGAGCAGCACCAGGCATTCTGACAAATTAGGTGTCAACCTAGTGAAGCTACAAAACAGGACTACTTGCATGCCAAACTACATAAGCAGTATGTGATAGACAGGGCTAAGTGACTGCACAAACAACAGATCTGATCTAAGCTTTGTAATGCAGTCGCATCCTGTTCTGAATGGTGGTGGACAATTAAATGACACACTGGAGGACAGGGGTCCACAAAAAGTGCCATGCTGAATGATAAGGGAGACCAGCACATTCGTCTGAAATATAAGACTGAAGTAATCTTCAGCCAGAAGCACCGATTATCCAAAGTGGCCTTCCGCATAGGTCCCCAGCATCTCCAGATATCTGTGTTTGTCCAATTCAATTTGCTCCTTATAATATCAAGAACTATTTTGAGGTGCTGCATTGTGCAATGGCAATGGACCCTGACAACATTCCAGCAATACTGCTGATGATGTGCTCCAGAACTTTTCACTCCTCTAACCAAGCTTGTCCAGTACAGCTACAAAATTGTCATCTACCTGAAAATGTGGAAAATTGCCCAAATACATCCTCCACACAAAAAGTAGGACAAGTTCAACGCAGCCAATTAACATTCCATCTGTCTACTCAGTAAAGTGCTGGAAGGTGTAGTCAACAGTGTCATCAAGCAGCATTTGCTTAGCAATAACCTGCTCCATTTGGATTCCATCAGCTCCTGACCGCATCACAGCTTGGTCAAATCGTAAATAAGGTAGCTGAATTCCAGAGGAGAGGTGAGAATGACAGCCCTTTGACAACAGCGCTGCATTTGACAGTATGGAATCCAGAAGGACTTGCTAAACTAGAGTCACAGGCGGTGGGTGTGATTTTGAAACACTGCACTGGTACAAAGGGAGATGATTGTGGTGGTTGGAAATCAGTCTTCTTGGCTCCAGAACATCTCTGCAGGAGTTTCTCAGGGTAGTGTCTTAGGCCCAACCGTCTTCAGATGCTTTATCAATAACCTTGCCTTCATTGTCAGAAGTTGGAATGTTCAGCACCATTTGTGACTCCTCATATTGAAGCAGTCTATATTTGAATGCTGCAAGATCTGGACCTTCTCCGGGTTTTGGCCAACAAGTGAGAAGTAACGTTAATGCCAAGGAATGACTGGCTCGACTCACTGTTGTCCGAAATGTTGTCCCCTGTTATCAACATGCTGGGGTTTACCAGTGACCAGGATCTTAGCTGCACTAGATGCATAAATACTGTAGCTACAAGAACAAGTCATTAGCTAGGAATTTTGCAGTGAGTGCATCAGCACCTGACTCCCCAAAGCCTGTCCATCATTTACAATGTATAAGTTAGGAGTATGACAGAATATTTGTTACTTGGTTGGATGCGCATAGCTCCAAAAACGCTCCAGCTTGTCACCATCTAGGACAAACCAACCTGCTGGCTTGGCACCACATTCAAAAATATTCAGTCTCTCTACCACTGACACTTATTGGCAGTATTATACCATCTATAAAGTGCACTGCAGAAATTCACCAGATCTCCTAAGGCAGCACCACCCGTGCCCATGATCACAACAGTCTAGTAGACCGGGGCAGCAGACACATGGGAATGCCTCCTGTAACTTCCCTTCCAAGCCGTGCACCATCCTAACTTGGAAAAATATTGCTGTCCTTCAGTGTCACCATGTCACAATCCTGGAACTCCCTACCTAATGACATTGTAGACCTACATCCAGCAAATGGACTGCAATGGTTTAAAAAGGCAACTCGCTATTACTTTCTTGAGGGCAACTAGGGGTGATCAATAAATGCTGGCCCAACTGGCAATATTGCATAAATTTGTAAATAAATAGAATTATACACCTGATTGACGTGCATGGACAGGGGGAATAGGAAGCAATTGTTCCCCTTTGCTGAACGATCAATAAAGAGCAGCATAGTTTTAAGATGAAGAACAGGAGTTTGAGGGAGGATTTGATGATTCTTTTTCACTCAGGTTGATGAGAATCTGGAATGTATTGCCTGGGAGAATAGTAGAAGAGGGAAAGCTCATAAATTGTAAAAAGGACATGGATGAGCACTTGAAATGTTACAATTGCTGTTATAGGTGCTGGGAAGCAAAATTAGTGTAGATAGGTTGGTGCAAACTCGATGGGCTCAGGAGCCTCAACTGTGCTATATGATTCTTTTAAAAAGAAAAAACCTTTTGTGCTTGCACTTGTCTTTTTTTTTCCAAGCAGTGGTTTAGTTCGGAAGGTTACAGCAAATTCTGTTATCCTCGATCACTTACTATAGCCAGGTCTGAATGTTGATGTTAAATGCTTACATTCTCTTTCTCGATGTTCAATTTAGTGATTCATCAAGTGAATATTCAGATTGGACGGCAGATGCTGGTATTAACTTGCAACCACCCAAACGATTGGTGAGAGGAATAGTACGTCATAATAGCAGCTCTGAAGATGAGAAGCTGGGAGAAAGATTGACTCTAAAACGCAAGAAATCCAAACAGTCCAAACAGAAGGTACTTGAATGTGTGCAGCCTTTTTTTGTTTCCATGTATTTATTCTAGAAAGGGTTTATCTGTAAATTTGGGAAGAAGATCCAGCTTATAACAGAACTTGGCTTTATAAGACTTCTGGGTGTAGAAATTAGCTTCCAGTGCTGGTGTAAAATGGAAGGTATTGGATCAAGTATCTGTTATACATAGGCATCTAATATTTGCTTTCATGGCTGTTGATGCTGCAATAGGCAATTTGACGCTAGACCTAAAATGTGAACATATACAGCCTCTTTTTACGCAGGAAGTGGTGAAAAGTAGATGTAACTCATTGGCAAAAAAAACCTGACTATTTCATATTGCAAAAATAAGCAAAAAGCATCGTCACCTCAGCGTCCTGTACGGATGAAGGCATGTGCTTTCAGCATGTACAAGTTGATTATGTGCATAGCATGGAGTCTGTGTAAGGGGCCAGAAAATTGTTTTAATTCTGATCATTGCAGTACGTATTTATTCCCCTTGCAAAGCCATGATAGAACTGAAGTTGAGTAACTGTTGGGTGCAGACTGACAAAATTCTTACTTTGTCTGCTGATTCACATTGAGCAAATTCTGATTTACCAAATTGGATCAGAGATAATATCCATTTGTATCTTTCTCCTCTGGCCTGCAGGTGTACTTATTTGTCAGTGACATGTGGAGGCCAGATGCATCACAATATGAAATTGTATGGATATTACTGCATCTGTTTCTCAGTGCATGGGCTAAGATGAGTTGACTGTTTACCTGCACTGATTCTGCTCACATGCTTAAATTAAGATGTGCTAATAATTTGGAACTATCTAACTCGAAACTTTTCTCTGTGCAGCTAAAGTATGCCTTGTATTTAATAATGTAATTGGCTGTAGAGCTTAACTGGCTTGCAGGCAATCTTAAAAAAAATTCCTCTTGCTCAACCTAAAGTTTTTAGGTTTTTGACTTAAATTTTACTTTCAATGTTCTTATCCATCTTCCTTGGAAGAGGTGAAACTACCATTGTATTAATCATAATATTTTTGCTGCATTTTTATAACTTGCAGCCATGCTTCCTCCTTTACTTGCACATGAATTATTAAAAGGAATTTGCATTCATACTTCTGTTATAAGGTATCGCAAACTTAATTGTATAGTAGACTTACTGTCAAACCTAATTTTGCTTCTCAAATTCGCATGTTATATGCGTTAATGTTCATTTGAGTTCCTCTATTTATAGAGGCCGAGTGAACTACTTGCCATGGAAGGTGCACCTTCTGAAGAATGGATTCCTCCATCTTGGATCCGAGATACAACACCACGCAGATCACCATTTGTGCCACAAATGGGTGATGAGGTAAATCTTTGTTCCTTGACTAAATTGAATAGTATATATGCTTTTAGGAGTTGAGAGCTCATTTATGTTTATTTCAGTGTACTGTTTGAGTTGTATGTTGTTTTGAAAATTGGTTGCAAAAGTTTATTACATTTCGATTTATTTAAAGAATAATGTAATTATATAAATGTAATTCTTTCTCCTTTATTACTATTTTTATTTCCATTTTTTGAACAAAGGATGGTGGATTTAAGTGAATCAGCCTCGCCTATTAGTGCATCGACAAACTAGTAAAAATCTCTAGCAATGTTTCCTGTAAGATTTGAGTGTGCACACTAGCTCATACCCTGATCAAGTCTATCTCTTTAAGTTATTGCAAATATGCAAGTATACAAAAATGTGAAGGACCCACGCGTCTAAACAAATCACCTGGAACGTGCAGGGGGGAAAAACGTTGATACATTGATCTTTGGTCCCAGTCACTTATTAAAGTTCATCAATTATCATCAATTCTCCACTTATGTAGTTTTGTTTTAGAGTTGCCCAGTTGCACCATTTGATACCTTTTCACTTCAGAATATGAATGCATTGTCGTTTGACAAAATCCTTTAGGATTTGTTTAAGATTTTAGAATATAACTCCCTTATTGTTGCACAGTCTAAATACTTTTGTCAGTGTTCTTTGCATATACATTTCAGTTTTGTGATAACTAGTTATTCCTTGATGAAATAAACTTGGCTGAATTGTTTCTATGCCAAAACCGAATATATTTTAAAGCCTGCATAGTTTGTACACCTCACCTCTCTGGTTAAATTTTAAGCTTGGAATGACTAGTGGAGGAGTAGAGCTAGAAAGCAATTGGTGCATTCGTCCGGTCTCGGGCAAAACAATGCCTTCTCCAAATACTGGCATTCCTCTGTTTATCATCACTTCAGCGTAGCCTATAATAACATTTCAGAAAGGCCTTATGAGGAGAGAAAATATATTTTGTGGCTTAGGTGACACAATTGCTAATATTCCCAACAAATTACACCAGATCTGGTGTAATTGCACATCTGTGTGCATTTTCTTTTATTGCCTTCACTTTGTTTAACTGTTTAGGCCATGTTGAATTCTGATTTGGGTGTAGGTTTTCACAGGGAGTTTGGGAGATGGTCTTTCTCTGTACTATGATAGCATATAGACATGTTAATAAACTTGAAAAATCTGCTGAGGGTGACAAAATAATATCAGTATAGCTAAGTAGCAAGTGGTGCATTTTTGGTAGCAAGAAAAAGACCGTGCATCCTTTGGAAAATAAGTCCCTAAATGAGATTCTGCTATTTTGTTAGTTTCCAAAAGTACTTTGCAATAACAGAACTGATGCTATGCAGCAGGATGAGAAGAATCAGGACTTTTTCAAAAAGACTTTGCAGGAGGCATGATTCATTCCTTTATATTGAGTCCTATTGAAAAATCTAAGCTGAAGTTGGTATGCTGGTGTGTGTAATGGGAGAGTTGTTATTGAGCAGATATTAATATATCAGAAAATTTATTGTTAAACTGAAAATCTATGTTAACAATTTTGGTGATCATTCCAGGTTGTATATTTTCGACAAGGGCATGAAGCGTATGTGAAAGCTGTTAAAAAAGCAAAAGTCTACAGTGTAAACCTTCAGAAGCAACCGTGGATCAAATTGGAACTTAGGGTAAGCATGCTTTTTTACACAAATTGTTGTTCTCCCCTATTTCTCCACCAGCCCCTAAAACCATAAT